GGGAGAGAAGTTAAAAAACAGCGTGTTTTTCTCTGTTTGCTACAACAAAGACATACAGATGTGAAACAACTTCTTTGTCTTTGCCATAGCACATTAGACTTATGATGCATTTCTTCAGAGAAACAGTACAAGTTATAGGCAGCAGGTTATGTAAAAAACTAATACTCCAATCTTTGCTAACTTTTTAGATGATTCAGACTATCTGTAAATTACAGTCATGAGTTTTTATGGTTCTTTTAATAGCATTTGAACCAACTTGTAAGGCAGTATGTAGATAAAAGGGAATGCCTCACAAGCAGCTCTCATAAATACCTAAACACAGCTCAAAAGGAGCTGACCCATTCTGTTCTCAAGGACAAAAAAAAGAAGTGGCTTCCAGTACCCTGGTAAAAAACCTGAAATTAGGGAGTTTTTTTTTCATAATGAGGATCTCTATGCAGAAAAGAATAGGGCTTCAAACAAAATCATTTTCTATTCATTTTCCATTTTTAAAGTAATTGGGATAGTGACACCGCACCATTCTTTCCTCTTTCTTGATACACATCAGTCTGAGATATTCTATCAGTGTTGTTTCTGTACATATATACGCTAATAAACAAAGCCATTTTTCAGTGTTTAATTTCTCCCTTGATTATCACATGGATTCCCTTCAATATTAATATGGCAAACAATACATTTCTTGTACAACTAGGATTAAAATGTCTCTATGACTGACTGTAAAAGCTCACATAATAGGAGTTTAAAAAAATAAAACTGATTTAGAGAGTGAAGGAGAGTAGGAGAACCATGCAGAAAAATCTGTGCTTGGTCACCCACTCCTCAGTCCACGCACTCACCCACTCACAGTCATGAATATACTAAAAAGCCTGCCATGTTTTTACTGCTTCTTGAAGGTGCATAAGAATGAAATAGGAAAATGCTATGATTAGAATTTTTGCACAATAAACACGTATTCAATCTATTTTTTCTCCTCTCAGTAACTTTTCAGAGGTGACTCTTACTTTTGCCGCACATTTTTTAAGGGTGGAAAAAATAAGAGAAGTTAGTAGATTCCCTGTGGAAATAGATACTAAAACCAAATATGTAAGTGAATGAACACTCATATTGATCTCAACTGTGAGATCATACACAGAAAGGACATTTCAAGTTACCACATGCTAAAACACACAGAAATTGCTACATTTAAAAAATACTGATTTGCAATGAGGCTTCTTGACGTCAATGCAGAGTGCATATACATAATCCTACTGAGAGATAAGAGTTCAGCTTATCTGACCACATGATAGAAACATTTAGGCAAAATCAGGTTTGTGGCTTTCAGGCAGACTGAGGAAGAAAATCAGGCACATTTCATGCTCGGCCACATTGATTCTCAGTCTCTACCATTGCTTGTAAACACCCTTTTTTTTTCAAAATAACATAAACTGTGACCACTGAGAACTCATCTACACCCGTTGCCACCCATTACCACAAGTTCATTCTAAATTTCATTCCTGTGTTTTTGTACGTAATTCTTATACACTGTTCTCCTGTATTCTTATTGTCACAGTAACAGTCAATGTTCCTGTAGTTCTTGCCTTCTTATTAAGCTACCCAGTAGCTTCCACTGTCCACTACTATAAAGAATGCCATATAAGACGCACGAAGTAGTCAGTTCACAAAAGAATCTGTAAGACTGTCTTGACATGCATGGAGAATCCAGTCCCTGTAGGCAACTTCAGTGGCACGCATGTAAACAAGTGCTTGCTTCCTGACATTCAGATGGAAGCTCCTGCATGTCAGTTTGCACCTGCTACCTCCAGAACTGGTATCACTGAACAGAGTCTAGCCCCATCTTCTTTGCACTCCCCCTTCAGCTATTTATATATACAAATGAGCTATCTCTTTTCCAGAATGAACAGTTTCAGCTCTCTCAGCATATGTTCCAGTCCCTTCATCTGTGGTCCTTTTTGGACTCTTGTACACTTGTACTCTTTTCTCTTTCTGTGGAGTCTAGACTGGACATAGTACTCATCATCATAAAATCACTGAATCATAGAATCACCAAGGCTGGAAGAAACATACAACTCATCCAGTACAACTGTCCACCTATCACCAGTAGTTCTTCCTAAAAGGTGAGTTGCTTCACCTGCTGAGAGCAGAGAGGAAGGACCGCCTCCCTTCAGAAACCTGCAGCCGTCGCTCCTCCTTAACAGTATGCTGAGGACACCATTCGCCTTTTCTGTGACAAGGGTATGCTGTTGGTTCACATTCAAGCAGATTCACTGGAGCTCCCCATGGCCTTCTCTGATACACTGCTTTCCAGTTGCTTAGCCTCCAAGACGTATTCGATATGCCTGGGGTAGTTATTTCCCAGGCCTTATTGCCCAGATCATTCACTGGATCTAGTACTGACTCTCAGGTATAACTATCCCTTAGCATAACAACCACTAGCTATTGGCCCCCAACAAGGCCCACTGATCTCACCAAAACTGGCCAATCAGCCAATTTTGAAATGCTTACTCCTTCATCATCCTCACTTCAGCTTCCATGAGGATCTTATGGCACAGAGTGTTGAAAGCCCTACTGAAGTCAAGTTATACTATATCCAGTGCTTTCCCTTCATTTACCAAGTCAGCCACTTTGTCAAATGTCAAGAAAGTTAACAAGCTGGTGAAGCGTGACTTCCCCCTGGTGAATCTATGCTGAATTCTTGTGATGGACAACCTTCCTATTCTTCCTGTGCCTCAGAACGGCTTTCAGAATTGCTAGTTGTTCCATCAGCTTCTCAGGGATGAAGGTGAGGCTAAGTGACATGTAGTTCTCTCTGTCCTCATTCCTGCCCTTCCTGAAGGTAAGATCTTCCCTCCAATCATCATGCATCTCTCCCAGACACCATGATCATTCACATATAATTGAATGGCCTCAGTGTGACATCAGGTAGCTCTTAGCATTTACTTGTTGTTCCCATATGAACTCAAGGATGCATATATGTCTGGTTTGCTTAAGTTTTATCAACCTGATTCTTTTTCACCAAGAATAACTCCACCTCACAGTAGACTTCAGTAGACTTCATCTTCTATATACTTTCAGTTTATCTTTGAATTTGTCAGATCTTTGCCCATCCACAAATGTCCCCTTGCATTTTTGCCTGACTTTCTGCTACCTGGGACTATCTTGGAGGGGGTGAATATCAGCCACCTTTCTTGGTCCCTCTTTTCTTCCAGGGGCTTATCCCATGAGTCTCTTCCTCTTTTAAGAGATCAAAGTCTGGCTTCCTGAAAGTCAGGACTGTGGTCCTGCTTTCTGTCTTGCTGTCTCTTAAGAACTCTACAACCTCACTGTCAGCACAGCCCAAGGCTGTCTCAGACTTTCTCACTTGTAACAGGCCTTTCCTTTTGAGATTAAGTTACCAAAAGACCACCTTTTCTCACCAGCTGCTCTTCCCCTTTGGTCAGGAAGTTGCCACCAATGCTCTCCAAGAACCTCCTAGATTGCTATACCCTGCTGTTCCCATGTCTGAGGTAAAGTTACAACTCACATTCCATCCCTAACTCATTTCATTGTCAAAACCAAACTCTTAAGCTAATGTTAAAGTGCTGCTTTAAAATCCACTTAGTTCCTCTTAAGGATACAAGTGGAAACCAGATGCTAAAGCTAATGTTACATTAGAAATGTACCTACAACTCAAACCAACTGTTAACCTGCAAACTCAACTGAATCAATCTCCCTATACTACTAAACAAATGTGCTCTCCACAACTTAAGTGTGGGAGAAGGAAGGATTATCGCATCTGGAAGAATAAAACTAAGGGAAGGAAAAGGAAAGCAAAGTTCTGCCTTCAAGACAGCCAGCTGAAACAGTGGTGAGAAAGAGGTAAGCCAAAATTTATGCATGCTTTTTCCATACCTTCACTTTTCTCTATGAAAAGCATTTACTGCATAGCACTTAATTCAGATATGTTTTATGAGCTGTTGTAAGTCACTTTTCTTTGGAACATCTTTTGAAATTAGGGACTTTTTTCTACCTAGCTGCTAGATTATCCAAATACGAGTTTCACAGATTTTCTCCTAACTGCCCATGAAAGTATGATATCAAATAAATAAAAATTTTCTAAAGAAAAGACCCCGAGAAAACATTAAAAAAAAAAGTTTATTTGAGCTCCCATTATCTCACATAAGAAAACAATTAAATTTGTAGCCTCCACAATTACTAGTGTGATTTATTCAACTGAGTGTAGTGTTGAAATAGGTCTAACTAGTTTCCCAGGATAGAGACTATATAGAAAAAAGTAGGTGAATCACACTCTCCAATTTACTCACAGTTATAATTGACAGATAAGTTAATACAGATATGATATCAGAAACAAAAGAACTCTTCTCCTTCCTCTTCCTGATAGGAACAGCAGGTTTCTGCAACCGTTCTGCAGGCTCAAGTTGGCATTACATTCAGGCTAACTTACAAGCAAGAGAGATCTACTAAAATAACATTAAAAAATAACCGCTTCAAAATTAAACTTCCAAAGCAGTCATAACTGGTGTCCATATTCAATTCAAGAATCAATTTAACAAGTGAAGCTAGAAAGACTGGTGCTTTATTGTAGATTTTGCAAGTTCTGTCAGGATTACTAATTTTCACTCAAGTTCAGATGAAGTTATAGGAACAGAGAGACAAAACCCTGAGCATCTATCCAATTAAGCTTATAAACTTAACAGAAATAATGTTCTTCATAATCTATTTGTTAGTGCAACTATTTCCTTGAGCCACTCTTATTGTCTTTTTCTGAAAAACAGTATAAAAGCAATTAGAATGCCTACAGCATAGAATAGTAGTTGAATGTTTGCTTGAAATATCTTAATTTATTTTCTATAAAGCTGTATACAGCATAAAAAACATTTTTTTCACGTTATTTCCTTACAAAGATCTAATGTCTATTCAACACCAACAGAACACTGTAAAACTGTAAATACATTATGAACAAGATCGAACCTAGAAAAATCTATATATCACAAGAGTAAACTCTGAATCATCGACAGCAGTTGTCAGATTTCAAAACATGTATTTATAACTGTTCAATTTTTTTCTTTTACATAACAGATTTTTTAGCTTTGCCCCTTCTCCCAAATCCTTCAAAACCTTTCATTCTCTAATTTAAGAATAGTAAACTACAAAATCTATGATCTAAGCAGCTATTAAGATGCTGCATTCCACAAATCTTATTTCTTAAATTATTTAAACAGCAAAACTCAAAACTTGGTTGAGCTTCAGGCACTGATTTGTCATAAAAATAATCATCATGCAGACAAGAAAATAGAAGTGGCAAACTTTTAAAACAAAGAGCAATTACTTGCAGTACAGAAATACTTCTCAATAATTTTGACAGCTCAACCATACATAAACATCACATTTTCACCAAATTCCTGTTAGTTACTATTAGAAATCCAGCTGGACATGCATCATTGTGTATCAATAACACGCAGTTTAGTATAAAATGCATAATGTAAAAACCAAGCACTTGTTTCTGTTTCAGGCTCTCATGTCAAACTAATTCTGCCCTCCTCTTTCTCCTGAATACTGCACCTAACTATATTCATCCCTTTCCCCCAAAAAATGGCAGTAGCAAAACAAACTGTATACATAAGATAAACAATCTCTAATTCGAAACCAAAGGGAAAAAAACATTCTTAGCACTAACAATTTTAAGACACGAAAAATATAAGTTGCCCAAGCACACCATCTAGTGGCTGAAAATTAACTTTGGCAAAAATATTCTAGAGGTAAAATTTTGATCTGGCATCTGCAATTTTCTCATCAACAGTTTTCATACCAGAGATTACTCCCTGTTTTTGTTGACACTCCACTGAACTGTACACTCTGAAATGGCTGCTGTGTTAATTGTTCAGCCTGTTTATTCCTTCTTCCACAACTTTACCTCTCACTAACATTTCTCTTTATTTTAAAATACTTATTTAATCACAACCATAACATGTATATTTGTAAAACACTGGTATGCTGAGAATGAGAGGTCATCTGTCAACAACAAAAAAGATATGGGAGAGAAGAGGGGGCAAAAGGAGAGTCAAAAGGGGGATAAAAGGGCAGACAAGAGGGGACACAGGGAAGAAAAGGAGAAAAAAAAAATCTTAAAGAGGAGCAAGCTTTTATGTACTGGGACACACACACACATACACACAAAAAAAAAAAAAAAAGCAAAAGACAAAAAACAAAAAAACACTGTTTTCCTGTGCCCTATTTTAGTCTATACAGAAATAAAACAACTCGAGACCACCTACACTTGAAGCAGCTCTTCACTGAAACAGCCCAGATCAGAATCTTAAATTATTTTTCTAATCGCTTTTATGTAACTGGACACAAAACAGAATTTGGACTTGCTGCTTTTTCTAAACTAAAGACCAGTAGACATTTGCATCTGCCTTTAAAAGTTCATATAAGCTAGTACAAAACTTGAACAGCCTAAAACTATCCTGGCTGACTATATGTATCATGAGACAGTATTCCAGCAATTTGTCTTCTGTGAAGAAGTATGAAATACTAGGAGCATCTCAGACTATCTGCCACAGGGAAATTCTACTTTTTTTTCTTTTTTTTTTTTTTAATGTTTGTAGAAGAGAGTTACGTACAACGTGAAATAACTCAGGAGCCTGTAACTCTGTACAAGACAGGCTCTTTTGGATAAAACTCTGCTTTATGATTTTGAAAATCCTCAAACTTCTTGATGCCAGCACTTCTTCAATCAATCTCATTCCTTCAATAATTCTATCAAAATCTCTATTTAGAGTTTTTATTTATATAAAATATATTTATACATTTATAAATATATTGATTTTTACATATCCAATGTTTATATAACCAATTTGATATACTGTAATTTTACAGAACACAATATGTGTCCAGTCCTTTTTAATTCATGGAGATCTTCATGAGTAACCATTAAAATGCACTTCCTCTTTATTTTAATTCAGAGGCATAGTGCAATCACAAGCATATTTCACAGAAACTGTAGACATTCCCAACACACACAAAGTACTGTGATCCATTATCCTCCATGAAAGTGAGAAATAAATGTACTTCTTATTTTACTTAAAATATCACTAAATTTCCACATAGGTACACAAATACCGAATATATACTGAAATGTTCAGAATTAAACAGTAAAGCATTTCAAAGCCCTGGAAAGTTCCAGCTGAAGAAAGAAGTCCTATGATAAGAAAAAGTATCAATATCCTACAGAAATGTGCTTGCTGATGTACAATTAATTTCAACCCTGCTTAGAGTCTTTTAAGAGAGTAACACAAAGATTTCAGAAAGAGGTTTTTCAGACACAAAACAAGAATGTATGCTCTAAGTATAATACCCTTTCAGAGGGGGCTGGAAGAGATAAGCTTCATAAAAAGCTACGCATACTTTATCATAAATGCTCCCATTGATATCTGCTCCATAAATTGGTGCCACAAAAGTCAAGTTCTTCCAGTATTTACGCTCCAGATCTTCATAATCTATGTATCTTGGGGTGCAGTATCTGCAGAAGAAGAGGTAAGGCAAATTTCAGCTAGTCTTTCAACAACCACCTTCAAAATGGACTGTGTTTCTGATCCTGCAAAGAGAATCCTAAAAGATCACTCTATTTCAAATACACTGGAATACACAGGGAAAAATTATTACTTGTCCTGCCTGAATTCCTGATTTCATAGCTCAGAATGTAACCTCATGCAGGACAGCTAGACTGGTTGAAGTTACACACCCATACAACATTTTTCTTTAATCTGCAGGAGATAAACAGAACCCGTCCTGACTGCTTTCATACTAATGTCCTTCTTTTTATTTCTGTTCTCTGTAACAAACACACACGGAAGAGCCACTTCTCTGACAACTGACATTTATTATTTCTCTGCTTCAGTACTATCTCTGCAAACACAGAGGCAGAGCCTACACAAGTCTATCTCACAATAATTCAAATGAACTAATTCTGCCAAGCAACAGTACTGCTTGGCAAAAACAGCGCTTTGCTTCCTTGCTCCTCCCCCAGGAAAAGACTTCAAGAGGAGACAGAGCATTTCAAACAGTGATAGCAAAACTTCTCTCAAGCAATGAAAATAAAATACATAAGAGATCTTTTCCTTTTTCCCCTGTAGGATACTATACCTTTATATATCCAAGAAGGTTACTCTTTGAAAATCTTCTGAAAATACAGCATTAGCATACTATCATAAAAAACACTCATTAATAGCCTTTCCTGTGGGATCCTTTTGTCAGGACTCTGTTCTCCCACATTTTGGTCTTTAGGAAAGAAAACATGTACTCCTTCTACTGCAGCTCTGAGAAACAGTTCATCATTAGCACTGCCAGATTACTACAGCTGAACCACTGGAAAGAAACCCTGAATATATATGAACAAAGTACACCACGTGATAAAACAGAACAAAGATAAGCAGTTAACAATATACATCTTAAACAATTAATTTTTAGCATCAGAGTTTTTATTTCCACCATTTTTCACTATATGGCTCCAGAAAACGACCTGTGTTTCTGTTTGACACTGAGTAATAAGGATACATAAATTCAGTTACTATAACAAGTATCTCCACTATGGAATGCAGGTATGCCCATATTTCCCTGTAGACAGGGTGGAGAAGCACGCTGCTTAAATGGTGAATTGAGAACACCTAAACAGATAAAAGATGCAATGCATTAGACAGCATTAAAACAGACCATTGTTTTAAATGGAGCTGTGACTTTCATTCAGATGTTCCTGGTCCTTTCCTCTTTTCCAAAGGAAAGGGATATCACCACAGTATCTAAGGAAAGGGAAGCTTTCTTCATAAAGGAATAAAAGTCTTTTTTTATAAGATTATAAGAGGTCCAGTTCTTTAATAGCTTAAGAAAAATAAAGAATATTAGCAGTGTCACAGGAAGTGACATTTTCTCAAGAGCAGTTACAAATATTCAGAGAGAGACTCAATAATTCATTAAAAATTCTCCCAAATGTTCTTGACTTTAACTATGAAGTTGTAAACTGCTTTCAATAAAAAAGGTATAAAAACTGAAATCAGAAATGCTTCCCAAATACATTCCAGGTATTAAGCATTCTTGAATCTATTTTAAAAAATTGTTTCTCATTCTTCCATGAATTAATCAAATACACATTTCAACCATACATGAATAGATATCATAGGAATTGACATAACTTTCTATTTACTCTCTCCTCTAACAGTTCTGAACAAATACATTTAAACAACCACAAAAACAGACTTCCATTTCTACTTATCAGGAAAAGAAACTTCTGTGTGATAAAACCACTTTTTTCACAAAAAGTACAAAAGTAGATGTACAGATATTTTTAAATTCAAAAAAAGAGATCAGTTTTCCACTTCTACACATGCATGGATACTACAGAACATTTTCTAAGAAGGCTCTTCAAGAGCTCTTAATAGTTTTTTTTATCTTGGTAACAGCTCCCCTCTAAATTTTAACTTCTTAAATTAGTTAACAAGATAAACTTTTCTTCAAACTAAGCCATTATTATTTTGCTTTCTCTAACTCATTATTTTCAAATATCTTCTCTCTCAACGATTCTTTATGTCACAATCCAAAAATCATTTTCCACCAGTTTTTGAGAAGTACTTAAGTAGAATATATTGTTTTACACTGGCAAAAGGAATGGGGAAGTATTCCTTCTACCATTTCCCTCTCTCCTCACTCACCAAGCTGAAGCTTTTATAGTATAGTGCCCAGCCCTTTTCAGCACCTCTTTTTTCTTCCTTAATAGCTGCTTTGCCATACCCAGAACATGGAGTTTCTCTAAGTACAACTGTGTTCTAGATTCCTTTCTTTACTTCCAACATATGCAACAGCCACTTTCAACAACAGAAGAAAGATTCATATTGTGGTATGCTTCTACAACTAAAGAGATAGAAAAACTTCCGTGAGGTACATTAAAAAAATAGTAATAATAATCACCATCATCCTATTACCACACTTAAAAGAAATCACAATATAGTAACAAATAAACACTAGCCATTTTAAGCAAGGACTACATATACATACTTGTCACTGTTGGCCAGCTGCTTGAATTCCTTCACTGTCATTGGCTTTTTCTGAATGTTATATTGTGTGAAGAGCCCTGACTGGCCAGTGACCATCTGCTGAATTGGAGCAGGAATCACCAGGTCTTCAATATCATCATAATGTTTTCTTGGCTTCCATTCCTTTGGTGGGATAACCTGAACATTTGGGTGAAAAATACAGAATATCAACAGCTGCCACACCAATTCCAAATATTATGGAAAATCCAAAGAATCAAATATGCCCACACGGTGAATTTACTGCTTACCAGCTGCTACACTTAACTACATGATCATATTAGTGCACCTAGATGGTACAGAAACTTAAAATGGCCATAACATCATCTTCTGTTGCTCAGTTCACAAGCACTAACTCACTAACCCACAGCAATTCAGACCATGCAACTGTGCAAACATACACGTGTAACACAAATGGACAGAAATCCTTTACAATCAGAAAACAATACAGTGCACAAGCACTGCTCACTACGATACAGAATTGTTATCCTCAATATAAGTAAAAAGCAAACTTCCAGCTGCTCACGGAATTGTGTGGTGGGATCTCCTGGGAAACTGTCTTTAAGGGCACGGGTACAGAACAGAGTTGGTAGCTCTTTAAGCACACCCTTCTGCAAGGGCAAAGGCTCTCCATCCCCCAGCTGAAGTCGAGCAGAGGAGGCAGGCAACCATCATGGCTGAGCAAGGACTTGCAGCTTAAAATGAGGGAAAAGAGGGAAAGTATAGGAAGTGGAAGCAGGGTTGTGTAGCCTGGGAGTAATACAGGGCTATTGTCTGTGTGTGTAGAGATAGGATCAGGAAAGCCAAGGCACAGATGGAGCTGAATTTGGCAAGAAACATGAAAGATAACAAGAAAGGGGTTCTACATGCATATAGGCAGGAGGAGACAGGCCAAGGAAAGTGATCCCCTTTTGATAAAAGGTAATGAAGAGCTGGCTTCCTCAGACATAAAAAAAGTTGAGGTGCTCAGTAAGTGCTTTGCCTCAGTCTTCACTGGTGGTCAGTCTTCATGTGTCTGCCAAAACCCTGAACCTCTAGGTGAGGGTGTGGGGAGTGGATTCCATCCCAATGTAACAGAGGAACAAGTCCATAGACCTCCTCATGCAATTGAATGTATTTAAGTCCATCAAGCCAGATGATATCCATCCTGGGGTTCTGAGAGAAATGGCTGATGTGGTTGCCAAGCTGCTCTTCATCATATTTGAAAAATCACAGCTGTCTGGTGAAATCCTGACTGACTGGAAAAAGGGAAACATTACTCTCATTTTTAAGGGAGAAAGGAAGACACAGAGAGCCTCACCTCTGTGCCTGGAAGATCATGGAGCAGATCCTCCTAGAAAGGCTTTGTTAAATCACATATAAGACAAAAAGGTGATCTGAGACAGCCAGCACGGCTTCACCAAGGGCAGATTTTGTCTAAATAATCTAGTGGCCTTCTATGATGGGAGTGATGGCATCAGTGGACCGGGGAAGGGTGACGGGTGTCACCTACCTGGACTTCCTCAAGGCCTTTGACACTGTTCCTCACCACATCCTTCTCTCTAAATTGTAGAGGTGTGGATTTGAAGGGTGGACTGTTCAGTGGATTAAGATCTGATTGCTAGCCACAGTCAAAGGTTCATTAGTTGTGTGTCAGGGTGGAGGCCAGTCACAAGCAGTGTCCCTCAGGGGTTGGTCTTGGTACCAGTGCTCTTTAACATCTTCATCAATAGATGTTGATGAGACAACAGACAACACAGACAATGGCATCGAGTGCACCCTCAGCAAGTTTGCTGATGACACCAAGCTGAGTGGTGCAGTCGATACACTCAAGGGAAGGGAAGCCATCCAGAGGGACCTGGACAGGCTGAAGAAGTGGGCCCATGAAAACCTAATGAGGTTCAACAAGGCTAAGTACAAGGTGTAGCACTTGTATAGGGAAAAACCGGGTGTTTATACAAACTGGTAGAAAAACTCCTTAAGAGCAGCCTCGTGGAGAAGGACTTGGGGATCCTGGTAGATGAGATGTTGGACATGAGCCACCAGTGTGTGCCTGCAGCCCAGAAAGCCAGCTGTGCTCTGGGCTGCATTAAAAAAGGGGTGGCCAGCAGGGGGAGGGAGGTGATTGTCCTCCAAGAGCTACTCAGCTTTTGTGAGGCCACATCTGGAATACTGCGTCCAGGCCTGGGGCCCCCAGCACAGGAAGGACGTGGAGCTCTTGGAGTAGGAGGAGGGCCAGAGGAGGGCCACTAAGATGATCAGAGGGCTGGAGCACCTCTCCTATGAGGAAAGATTGAGGGAACTGGGCTTGTTTAGCTTGGAAAATAGAAGGCTCCAGGGAGACCTCGTTGTGGCCTTCCAGAACTTGAAGGGAGCTAATAAACAGGAGGGGAAACAGCTATTTATGAGGGTGGACAGTGATAGAACAAGGGGAATGGTTTTAAACTGAGACAGGAGAGGTTTAAGTTAGATATTAGGAGGAAGTTTTTCACACAGAGGGTGGTGACGCACTGGAACAGGTTGCCCAAGGAGGTTGTGGATGCCCCATCCCTGCAGGCATTCAAGGCCAGGCTGGATGTGGCTCTGGGCAGCCTGGTCTGCTGGTTGGCAACCCTGCACATAGCAGGGGGTTGAAACACCATGATCATTGCGGTCCTTTTCAACCCAGGCCACTCTGTATGATTCTATGATTCCTACAATTGACAGTCCTTTTTCCAAATGTTGTTTGCTGAATAGAGTATGAATAAATCTCTTTTTTTTCTGATATATTTATGAAATTACAGCTAGTTCAGAGAACTGCTGTCTGCTTAACTTACACAAAACTTCAGTGTACAGTTCCATTAGAATAGCAGTTTGGACTCATTAAGACATACTGATTTTGTATTAACACAATTTAAAGCTCATAATTAAATATTAAAGCTCTGTGTGGATTAGCCAATTGTAAAGCTAACATCTATTTCAGCCATCACCATTGTCCAAAATCTATTCCTCAGTAGGTATGAAACTGTTATCACTAAAGCCATTTCAAATTTCCAAGAATCCTGTAGTGACAGAAGTGTTCTTTAACAGACTGCATAATTTTGAATATTCCTTTTACTACTTATCTGAAAACAGAAAATTCTCTAGATTTGAAATTGCTAATTTTAAAACAAAGTTGGAGACAGGTTTTGGGCAGTCTATTTTATCTTATTGCTTTCCTTCTAGCTTCTCCTTTTTTTTTAATTTTACTTGACAAAATATCTGGATGCTGTATTTGTGGATTTGCTCCCCTCATTATAACTCATTTCTCTGCGGATCTCAGATTTTCATAGGCATTGGCTTGCAAATTTTGACAGAGCAAGCAGATGCAGAGCAGAGAAGCAGAACAGAGCAGAACAGAGCAAGCAGGATGGCTTTTGTAGAAGTATCTCTACTATTTATGAATCACGGAACTTGAATAATTAATTCATATCTTAAAGGTAGCTTTTACTCTGCGCTAGCTAGATCATTCCTCTAATGAAGCAGTTCAGGATTTCATACAACACTGCCCATTAGAGACTGTTATAACATCACTCAGTAAAAAATAAAGAGTTTAAAAAAAATAAGAGGAAAACACTACTTAGATCGTAAGATCGTTTGCTACCTTACTAAAACAACTGTAAGCATGCAAACTGTAATGCTCAAGTACTCAAAATCCAACCATCTAAGAGATCTGGACAACACCATTCACGGTAGTAAGTACATACTAACCTGAATATACCAAGCTAAAGAAAAAATATCAGATAGTAATATACTTCTATATCTAAAATTTTGACTTCAAACCAACTTTTCCTTTATTCAGTTCTCACATGGATAGAATCCCCTCTGTCTTTTTTCCTCTCAACTACCACGTGATTTCATTTATATAGGGACTCCAGAGCTTGTTTCAGTTTTTTTAGCGTTCAGAGAAAAAACAATTGAATCATCTTGTGATTTCTACACAGTTCTTTCATGCAAATCTTAAGTTTTGTTCACATCAGCATTATACCGAATGTTGGTTTGGAGCAGGGAAGTCATGCATTCAGAATATATGCATAAAAATCAAATATGTGCACAGAGGTTTCCATTTTCATGATTATTAAGCATGAACTCGTACATCTGGCTCAATCAGATGAATACTGAAAAGTAAAATTTGCATTATCTTCTTTATTTCAAGGTCAGCGTGTTTTAAGTGATTAAAACACTTTTGTGAACATTGAGTCAAAATATCCACTTTCAACTATCTGAAATATGTTTATGATTGTCATTACTCATTAAAAAAGTGAATTGTGTGAGCACTGATATTCTACACATCATTTAAATGAAAACAAAGTCTCCACCCCAAATAATTTACTTTTTCTAGCAAAGGTCAGAGCAAGGAATAACGATATTAAAACACCATATCTAAAATGACATATAGTCAGAGGCCGTATCACAGTTGGAAATAATGACTAGGTCAAGTTTTTTACTACTGACCCTGGGATCTACTCTCCCAGTGAGGCCTCTTAACATTCCCTTTAAAAATGAACAACCTTTTTGAAGTCAGACAAATCATGTTTATGTTATGAAAGCAACTTAGATTAAAATCATCAATTGTTTGATGTTCAAATTAAAAAAAAAAAAAAAAAAACTAAGGCAGAGTTTTCTCATTTATCCGTATTTACAGCAAATAGCCGAAGTATATTTACATTGACTGATGTTACTTAGGGGATATGTATTCAGTTTTAGATAACAAATGTCACAGTTATAAACTACCATTCATTTTCCCCTATGAATCTGCATATTACAGAACTGAAGTTATTTCAGAATGCTATCAAAGCATACAGTTTGTATTAAATCCTCTTCTGTGTACTGGTAATCTCCTGTCCCACATCTGATTCTGAACAGCAGTGGCTACTATTTCTATGTAGCTAGTTTCATTCAAAATCTGAAAAAGTTATTTTCCTTCTGCTTGTCAATGTATACCTTCAGTGCAATGTTCCAAAATTTACTTTCCCACTTGTCAATTTGTTTGCAAATTCATTTAAGTGCTTTGCTCCACATAAGTGCAGTTTGAGACTCCAGAATAATTCTTAGTCAAGAATTAGCAATTAATCTATCAGTGTACTTTATTTTTCTCTTATTCCGTGGCTTTCCTTTTTAAGAAAAGTACTCTCTGTGACAAT